CCCACACCCACACTCCACATGCATACACACACACACACACACAGGTCCCCACAAACCCCATACCCACCCTTCCATACCCCGCATGCACCACACTCCATTACAATATACAAGAGTAAGAGCTCATTTTGAACTGTTATGCAATCACCTCTATATACAACACAAACACACACAAATCAGGACAAAGAGTTTTTTTTTTAAATAAAGTATTTTTTAGTTATTTTAATAATATTATTTTATTACTAGCCAATTAGCCGTCAAGAATGACCGGGGTGGGGGAAGGGCTGGGATGGCGTGCCACCACCTAAAGCCCCATGTTGCTGCCATTCTGCCTCTTGCAGGGAGCGGTGTGGGTGAGTCGAGGCCAGCGCTTCCGGTCTCAGTTCCCCCACCCTCCGTCTGGGTCCTTGGCGCAGCTTCAGAATCATGGCAGCGCTCCCCCATGCTTGGAGCACTCTGATTGGCTGCTTCCGTCAGCCAATCAGAGTGCGAATAAAGCATTACAGCCAGACAGACAGACTTAGGCTTTTATAGTACTAGAATTACCAGAAGTCCCAAGGGGAGGGACTTCAGATGGCAAAGGTCAGGGGGTAGCGGGTAGGGCTTGTGGTCCCAAGAGGGCAACCAGGGACTACCCTTGCGGCCCATGACAGCTAACCAAAACCCATTAAGTGGCCGTCCACCCAAAATAATTGCCTGCCCCGCTCTAGGATATGCAGCATAAAAATCCCCAAAATATATGTCAACTGGGTCTAAACTCCTATTAGAATTAATTGGAATTCACTCACTAATCAAGACCTGCAGCACTTTATATCCAGACCACCACAGGCAAATAGCCAATAATAGGCAACACTTGGAGAGATCAGCAAAAGGGAGGCTTCACTACAAAAACTGAAATTAATGATACTTACACTAATCAAAATGATGGGAAGCAGACAGTATGTAAGATCTTTTTTTTTCCAAGATCCAAATTACCTTATGTTTAGCCCATGTGTCTTGAACCAGAAACCTTCCCTGCAGAGTATTTTCTGACGCAGTCTTATTTTAGAGGGGAAAAAAACCCTCTAAAGCCTAATTTATGTACCCAGAGTGTTAAAAGGTCTCTTTTCCCAGAGAGGCTCAGGATGAAATTAATGCGTCTTTCATTTTCAATAAAAGCTGTACACTGCAAACAAAGCCACACTGACTGAAAAGCAATAACTGAAGTGATTTGCCTCTATGCAGATTTGCACAGTCAGATAATTCTTGGCTGTTAAATAAGGCTTTTTTCGGAACAGCATGCCAAGGGGTATAAAAAGAAAAAAATGTTTGTATTCTGGCAAGGCATTAAAACCTTAGCATGAGCTGGAGCAGAAATCCTTACACGTCCAGCCAAAAAGATAACTCGAGACCAAGGTAGATTTTTTCCTCCTCCTCCCTGACCCTAGCTCCAGGGGATGTGGTTTTGGAGAAAACCTGGGTTAACAAGGAGGTGCTCTGCCGCCATTACAAAGTATTTAGAAAAGAACCTGGGAACAGAAGGAGAGCCATTACATTTCCAACTGGCAAGGGGGAGATGGTCTTTGCCTACTGAAGGAAAGCAGCAAGCCAAGGTGTCAACAGCAGCCTTCAGCTAGCAAAACACCCTGGAAGAGGTAGATAGAATTGGAACGATATCACTTGTGCATGATAATAGCAAATACAAGCATTTTGAAATACCAAGGATTATTTTGTACTCCTTGCATAAGACAGAAGCGATTATTCCCCAGCTGGAACGTAACTCTGTTGCTGGTCATATAGTGTGTTTGTACGTCATTAAACCACGAACTACCTGTGAGGCCAAGACATAATTACCCTGGATCTTTTAAGATCTACTGCAGTGTAACACGTCTGCTTTTTCCGTTTCATTTTTCCAAACATGATGTGTCAAAGAGACTCTTTCAGTCCTTGATCAGAGATCTGATATGAACAAACGGGGAAAAAAAAAAACAAAAGATAGAACAACTTCAGCTCCTATTGCTGCATGATCTCAAGCACGTCACCTTTTATCTCCAGTCTTCTGCTTATAAAGATAGTGGGTTGTGTTTTCCTAACTACCTCCCAAAAGCACTTTCTTTGCCAGCAGTAAAGAATCTAGATCCTCTAAAACCGAGTACACTGCCAGGGGCTGTTATTTCTTGTTAGCAAAATGGCAAGGCGTGGTAGCATTGAGCAGAATTTCTTGCTTAGCTTCCTCCTCATTTATGTATAGGGGCTATTTGCAGAAGTTAAAAAAAAATGCTTTTCCAGAAGCAGGAGCATGTTACAAATCCTTCAGAGTGGAGTCAAAGTATAGATGGGGCACTTCAGCAGGGCTTTTTGGCACAGCATGTTACAGATCCTTCAGAGCAGAGTCAAAGTATAGATAGGGTACATCAGCAGGGATTTTTGGTGCTTTTAGCTAAAACTGATTCCATCAACTATTAGATAACAGCACCAAAAAAGCCACACTAATGCACCTGAACTTATACAGATGTCAGGTGAGCCAAGTCCAACTAATGCACTGCTTCCATAGGAGCATGCTTCCATAGGAGCATGCCAAGTTTAAAGTAAATTGCCATTTTAGGGGTTGGTTTTTTAACGTATGCAAACAGAGTTGAGTTTTATTTTGTAGCTTTGAGGAAGAAAAAAAAAAAAAAAATAAGGAATGCTTCCTAGGAGGTCTCACATTTTCCATTAGTAGAATGAAGGGTCACTATACCAGCTGATACAGATGCTGCTGGAACAAAAAAGCCTGCAAGGTTCTGATGCACATTAGGTTTGGCAAGATGCAACAGACAGTGAAGCCAATTTGGACACAATATACTTGTCCCACAGTTCTTTTTAAGTCAGTAGCACCTTGATATTTATTACAGCACAGCAAAGATCAGTACGAGGCACCAGGAGAGGAAGGATAGATACTGCACTCCCATGGCTGACTACAAAAGTTACATTTGGAAAGCAGTTAATTTCTATTCCACCTAAGCTTTCATGTATGATCACTACTTGAGAATTTTCTTGGGTGAATTGTTCATCATTGGTCTAGTGGCTAGAATGCTAAAGAATCCAGGAGACCTGGGTTCCACTGCAGGCTCTGCAATTTACCCACTCTGACTTTTGCCAAGTCACTTCACTTCTTTCTTCTCCCATGTTTTGTCTTAAGAGAATTAACAGATTCAGTGTGCATATGTGCAGCACATAATAAAATGAAGCCATAGGCACTACTGTAGTAAGTCGAAGGGCAAGGAGAAACAAGACAGACAACTAAAGAGACATCAGAGTTACATAGGTTCTTTACTTTCCAAGGTCAGTGCCAGACAACACCAGACTTATCATTCAAGTTATAGCGGAGTACACACAATAGCTAACTACCAGCCCATACTGAACAGCCCAAGGATTTTTCTTTCTGGATTCACCTTTACTTTAAAGATTACCAACATAAACCAATACAATTCAGCCTACAAGGACACAGAAAAAAAATGTCTAAACCAGTAGTGACTCAGGCTTGCATTTTAAAAGCTGTCCAGCATCTCTCTCCTTTTAAATCTCAAACCCCTCCTTTTGAGCAAATACCTAAGAAAAAGGAGAAACTTTTTTTTTTTTGCTTATTAAATATTTGCCATTTAATGCATATTTGAGACATGGTCATTTTCTTTGGATAAGCTCTGAATCCATGTAGAGGTAAACTACTGTCTCCAACAAGGTATCAAGGACCTACAAACCTACTGAAATAATTTAATTTCTTTCCAAAAAAAAAACAAAACAAAACAGAGCTATAGTACGGCTAAGGGCTGTACGTTCCATCTGAAGCCAGATGTTACTGCTAGTACTTCCAGCACACACATTCTTCCTCTACTATCCATTGATGCGGTAATTCATGTGGATTTTCGGTTTGATGTCACACACTAATAACAGCAGTTCAGTCAGCACCTCTTCCCTATTCTTCTGGAAGTTTTCTTGGATTATGCCCATCTTCTCCTGGGTCTCTTTCTCAACCTCTGTGGTGCAGCTTCCATGACATCCAAGAGCCTGAGCGAATGAAAAGAAAAAAGCAATCCACTTAGAACAAAAAGCTCCTTGGTAAGGAAGCAAACTATTGTGACTAATTTTTATGTTCTACTATTCCGTATGCTTCAGTGATAATCATTACACTTCCTGCAGCAACACAGTGTAGTGGTAAAGTAGTAATGCCAAGAGACAGAGTTGCTTCATCACGGTTGCTTCATTGCTACCCCTTGAATCATTAGACCGTCTCATCTATTTAGCATATAAGCTTTGGGGGAATTTGTGCAGTCCCTAGGACAATTAACACCTTGGTTTTAATTGGGGGCTTTTGGACACTACTTTAAGTAAGACTGCTAATAATGATAGCAGCTAATACAATATTCGCAGTAACATTTAAGTAAAGGACTTCTGTAAAAATGTATTCCTTTGTCATTTCTAACCCTTTGATTTCTCTGGAAGGTATGAACACTTCAACTTGGCTGCGCACCAAACACGACCAATGCCAAGGCACAGGACAGGACTCACAGGACCTGGATTCTATTCCTCTGCTGTAGATACAACTCGAGGAAGAAGGAAAAAAAACGCACGACCTCTTCAAATCTGTCTATCGGCTTCTCCATTTGTAAATAGGGACTTGAAGCCTCAGAGGCAGGAAATCAGGACTTAAACACAAGGTTCAGAAATGCTGTTGGTACAGGAATCAGAAGCACAAGAACCATACTTCAGTACCCAAACTCCGAAGTATGGTGAATAGAACAGAGTCAAAATCTTGAATGGACTAGTACTGTTACTGGTTAGAGAATGAAAAGGAAAAGCTTAAGAAATAAGATCTTAGCTTACTGGTGTCAAGATTGATATGCTTGTTTATGATGCAGGGGGTTCCATGTGAGGACAGGCTTAACTGAAATTATACATTGCCAACTTAAAAAGTTGTACAGAAAGAAGAAAATGAGTGATTCATCTTCTTGGAAATCTGATTGCAGGTAGTGTAGGAATACCCCTTACAAAAACAGAGTTGGCACAAAGTAGCGCATCACTGCTCTCACAGCACACTTCAAAGGAGAGAGGGCTCCCACTTGGAATCTTTGATGAAGGCTGAGGTCACACATACTATTTTACATTTTGCTGGGAATAAAAGCACCACATAAAACAGAGCATGCAAAGCTGCCAAGAGACTTATAGGCCACTTGAGTATTTAAAGATTTGAATTTTGTGATGTAAGTTTATCAAGGAACCATAGTGAAACGTTTGCAAGAAAGACTAGCTCTGCAGAACTGAGCGTGATCTCCTTTTGGTATTAATGCACAAAGTCTACTTTGTAAGACTAACTCATGACACACAAGTCAGACCTCATTAATATTAACCGCTTCACTACTGATACCATCTTCCAGGTTCCAAGATGCAACAACACTCCTGCTGCTGACTGCTTTCCACTGATATTGCCATGGCAGCTGGCGGCACATTACAGCACAGTGAGGCAATTAAGGAAAAAGCACTCAGGGACAGAACCACCCCATGCAGAATGTTCTTCCACAAAGAGCAGCAGCTAAACATGTTGCAGAGCTCTAACAGCATCATCTCAAGCAGCAGCAACACCAACTCCAAGCAGCCCCAAGGACTGGGGGGGTGGGGGACACAAGGAGGCGGTGGCAGCTGTGAATTATCTAATAAACGAACCGCTGCTTCCTTGGCTTTGAACTCCTTTTCCCTCTGCAGGCGGTACTGTTCAATCTCTGCCTGTGCTTCTTCTTTTGCCTGTTTCAGCCTCCGGTTCTTTCCTATTACCAAAAAATATGCCAGATTAGAATAACATCTGAGAGAGAGAGAGAGAGAGAGCGCGAGCTAGGACACAGCATTCCCCATAGGCATACAACTTAGCGGACAGTTACTGTGGCATCTACAATTGCAACTTAGCAGGAAGAGCCTGCAGGAAGCCATTGCCAGAATGCCACACGCTTTCTAAGGCCTCCTCTGTTATCCAATTTTATACTGTTAACTGACATTCCTATATCTTCCAAGGGAAGACTGACTGCAGAGTGCACCTCTGATCCATAACCCCACTCACCACCTGGCAAGACAAAAAAAAAAGGGGAGGGGGGAGGAAAAAGACCCTCAAAACCCAGAAAATACTTGCTGGGGAATAAAAAGTCCTGCTGCCTTGGCTCAGCTGATCTGTACTTTCTGTAAGAGTACTTGCACTCTGTGCAACAGACAGATCAAGTGATCACAGCTTTGCCTCAGTCCAGTTGTGCAACGGCTACAAGTGACATGTTATATGACACCCCTCTCCCCCTTTAAGGATTTCTATAATTAAGCCAAATTAAAGCAATGCACCTCCCAGGTAAAGAAGCTGAAATGATTAAGCAGGAGATAAGCAGTAAAACAGCACTTGGGAAGTGTGACAAGAACTCCTCAGGGTAGTAACCATAGATGAAGTCCTGGCTCCATTAAGATCAATGAAAAAGAAAAAATACTTCCATCAACTTTGATGAGGCTAGGGTCCAACTCTGTCTATAATCTCTACATAAATGCCCAGGAAGCAGAGATTCAACATGCTCATATTTCTTATCTGCTTTTTGCTGGCATGCCAGCCCACTCCTCATGGTGAAAATGCTTGTTCCTTTTTGGTGGTATCACCTTTCATAAGGATCTCTGCATAGATTAGTCGTTCAACTGATTTGGAGAGATTTCAATTCCTGGATCACAAGCGTCTCTCCCATCACTCCATGCTACATCTTCACACAGGTGGTGGCGCTTTCTTGGGGCAGCCAAGCCGTCACAGGAACGAGCTCATAAGGAGCTAAGCGCCACATAAATTTCACCATCTTCTGTAGACGATATTCTTTGACTCAACCAAAGAACCTTGTCTGCCTATGTCCTCAGGCCAGCACGGCTACAACCTACACCATCCTCTGCAAGCGTACAGCACATTTCCTTTGACCCCTATCAGCTTTAACCAGACACACAGCAGTACTTTTCCTGTTAAAAACTCCACAATGAACACCCCCTGCAGGCACTTCTGCCTTAGAGTGCCAGATGCTAGCTGTATTCCTTAATGCACTACGGCACACCCCTCCTGCTATAGCAAGCAGCAAACAGGAGCCCAGCTGGCAGAAAAATACAGAACCTCCCGACTGCTCCACGCAAGGGGCCCAGCTTCCCTTCTAAGCACTTCTCCATCCCCAACAGCTGCCTGACTTGTAGCCATTGCCCATTTCAACACTCCTCAAAAGGGCAGGTCCACACCACAGCAAAGACCCCCTTGGGCAACTGGCTCCAGAAATGAGGAAGGAGCGATTCCAGCCCCATCCACTCCCACCCCCTAGACCCAGCCTTGGAAATCAGGCTGCAGCTTCACCTGGGGAACACCCCAAAGCACGGCTCTTGAGCATGTCCAGAGCACCCCATTTGATGCCCCCTTTCCTGCTCTTTTCTGGAACCAATTCACGAAGCAGAACAGGCTGATTTGCTGGGGGGCGCCGACAGGCCCTTCGGATGAACGTTGAAATACAAAAGGCTACGAACCCGGCAGCTGCTGGGGATGGAGAAGTGCTTAGAGCAGAAGCACCGGAAGGGAAGGGAAGCTGGGGAGTGCTCGGGAGGTTCTGCATTTTTCTGTCCGACAAGGGCCCATTGCCCCGGCCGCACAATTGGGACAAAGCCACACCCCCCGGGCGCCCGGGGGGTGTGAGCAAGCCCCAGCGGGGGAGAGACTCCGCACCACCCTGGAGTGGCAGCACCTTTGCCCCTTGCTCCCTCCCGACTGGGAACCCGCGCGCTCTTCCATGCCCGGCCCGGACGGGCAGCGGGCGTCTCCCACCACCTCCCTTCCGAATCCACGGGCTGGAAACCCCTGAGCCCGGGAATGGAACGCGCCGGAGCCAATCAGAGACGCGCTCCGCGGCTCACATGCCAATCGCGTGCGGGGACGCCGAAAGCGGGCGAGGGGCCCCCGGTTCGATCCCCGCTCGCTCCGGGCGCGGCAGGCCCCGGAGCGCGGCGGCACTCACGCTTGCGGGCCTCGGCCACCTTCTCGGCGGCGCGCTTCTCGGCCTGCAGCAGCTGCTGGATGCCTTGCGACTGGCTAGCCATGGCGGCGATCCCGGCTCCCAAACGCGGCCGCGAGCTCCCGGCCTGGTCACGTGGGAGCGGCTTGTGTCACGTGAGCGGGACAGAACCCGGAAGGGGCCGGCCGGCCGGGGGAGGTGACCGCCAATCAGAGCAGGGGGCGGGGCCTCCCAAGCGGCTTTATTTTCTGCACCGGCCGCGCAAACGATGACGGTTGCGTTTGTACAGTGATGTCACCCGTTGTACAAAGAATGACAATCAACTGTTTATTATCATGTTTATCACGTCATCACTGTTTGTTGATGATCATGCTGATAATGATAAACGTATCCCAGCAGCGCTGTGGTTGTTGCAGGTGACCGATGCAGCACGTGTACCGCCCAGTCGCTCTGAGGCGTCTTACCCAACTTGGGGGGGGTGCTGCCGCGCTTTCCCCGAAATCGTCATAAGACATTGTTTAACGGCGATGACCCAGTTCTCACTCACTCCCATGGGTCTATCAATGTGAGGTCAAGTCAATACCATTGATTCCACGACCACCCCAGTGGCTCCCGCAGCAGCCAGTCTCAGAGGGGGCATGCGCCCCCCCCATTCGCCTTCTAGGCATCCCCTATGCCAGCAGGGGAGCACATGGGGCTGGGCTTGGGGAAGGGAGGACACATGGTGAGGTGCAGCGTGGCACTAAGGTTGCCGACCCTTCAGGAATTAGATACAAATCTCCAAGAGACAGCTGAGAGTCACCTGGGAGATAAATGATAGGGCATTCATTCAAATGAGGCTGGACACCTTCAAGTCAGCCAGCCCTGACAATCTACACCTCAGGGTACTCAAGGAGCTGGCGAGCATCATAG